GTGAGCCAGAATCTAACCTTTGCCTGCCTAGAATGTTAACCAGGAGGAAGCGTCCACTCTGCCCCCGTGGGATCTGCCCGCCACAGAACTCCAGCCCACACCACGGCTGGGTCAGGAATCAGCATGGGACCCACGCTGGGCCAAACGGAGTCCTTCCCTAGGTTTTCCTAGCATCTCTGCTTATGAAGCTTCATAGGTGGAATGTTCGAGTTGTCTAGCTATGGTGTAAGCCTTATGGGGCGGCCGGCCTGAGCCCACATACAGAGAAAAGCAGAGAGGAAACCCCGAAGACCTTCCGTACCTTAACCTGGCTTTTTGCACATTTTAAACAATTTCATTTTCTTTCATTTCTGTTTCCTTGCAGTATTTCGTGGCTGCTGCTGTTTGCAAAGGCTGGTGTGTTTCCTTTCTTGGTTAAATAAGTGCAAGTTGAATTTCGGTCGCTTGGAATGAAGAATCACGGCTGTGACTTGCAGGGACACAGTTTTGCACTTTCCCCAGGCGACCATGTGGCACTCTCTCACCTGAACTTTACCCCATCTCTGCAGACGCAAGCCTAAACTTGTGTCTGCCAGACAATAACACCATATACGCCGACAGTTTTTCCTATTTGCTTTTGCTACCAGAAATCCTAGGCCCAATGTGACACCCAGCCGAATGTTTGTGCACTCACAGAGCTTAGCCCTGGAAGGAATCCTGCAGATTATCGAGTCACACCCCCTCACTTTTCAAAGAACACTGGCATTTTACATGGTGACGTGATTTTCTCAAGGGACACAGAAGCAGTCGACAATCATTTTCTTTGCTAACTGTTCTACTCATCCTGCCCCTTATGTTCCTTCAAGTTCAGTGACTTCATGGGAAAGAGGAAGACAAGCACGGGGTCTCTCTAGCAACCCCACCCCAGCTCCAGCCTCGTCAGCCAGAGGACCAGGGGCAGACACGTGCGGGTCACCCAGGAACTGAACCCCAACCACCCCTGTGGCCTCCAGCACTGCAGAGCGCTGTGCTACCGCTGCACCACCACGGCGGGCCTCTCTCCTGTTATCCGGAAACTGCCTTGAGTAAAAGCACTTCCATTTTCTTTCCTTCCCCTTTTCTAATTGCCAGAGGACATATGCACCCCAAGAGAGATAGAAAGACGCGGTGGGGGAGCACGCTCCATGGACCTGGTCACCGGCAACCCCTTCTCCTCCGTCTCTCATGGCCGTTGCGACTCGGGCATGCACTCACTTGCACCCGCATGGTGTTCAAGCAACCAGGGCCGGCATTCAAACTGCAGTCCACACAGGGCCCAGCCTCCTTAACCACCACCCACTGCTGTCTTTGTCTTCTCTGACAAGAGGGAAGGAGGTAGAGGGCCCAGCAGTTAGTGTTATGACTGCGTGGCTGGACTCCCATGTAGTTGACAGCGGTTTGAGTCCCGGACCCGGTGGCTTAAACTCACACCAGGTGCGTGTGCGTGCGTGCCCAAGATCCTGAGAGGACAATGGAGGAGAAAGGATTGCGGCATGGCCATCCCCCCTAGGGGGTGATTTCTCACTTTCTGTCTCTGCCTCTCTCTGTCTTTCTGACGAGTGCACGTGCCCTATAGCAAAAACCTCTCAAAAAAAAAAAAAAAAGAGGGAAGGAGGCAGAGAATGAAGGAATGGTCTCTCAAGAAGTGAAGAGGGCAAGGCCAGAGATAAGGGGATTTAGCCAGGAATTAACTCTGTTCAGATTCTACCCCAGTCTGGAAACGTACAGAAGGGGTCACGTCCGCAGTGACGTCAGGAAGGGAAGGGGTGATTGAGGAGCCAGGGAGGGGGACTTCTAAGGCTGGAAAGAAAAAATCTGGTGCTAAGCTCAGTAATTCTAAGACTCGGTTAGTTTTAGTGCCCTAAATCTCAAAGGTCTAAGTTTTGGTGACACTAACAGAAGGAACTGGGCAATGCTGGTTGCGAGTTCCCAGCGTCATGGATTTGGTCAGAGCTGTGCCGAAACCAAGCTGTAGCAGAATGTGACGCAGGTCACGGCACAAGGCCTTCGTGGCGAGGAGCGGCAAGGGGGCGACGAGGCGATGGACAATGGACGGGTTCTGCGGTTCAAATCTCCCCGTGGGAGAGAAGCGCTAGCAGCCGTGAAGAAGAGGGACTCTTTTCAGCTCACGAGCCAGTCTGAGGCCCTGCCAGAGATAGGTGCTGAGTAAATAACCCTGTTGGCGACACCAGCCTGGCCACCCTCTCAAACTGCTCTTGGTCTGGAAATGGAAAGAGACGCTTGGAATCACAGTCCTGTTCCCCCTGTCCCCCAAGAACACAGACACGACGTCCTTCCTCGGCTGGGCTCAGAGAAGAAGCCATTAGAACCTTTAAGCCTTGGGCCCCCGCCCTCCCCGCCCAGAAGACAGAAGAGCTGCGGTTACCTCCACCGACGCTGGCAAAGTGCTCGCAGGAATCCGGAATAACCCCAAACTTCGCTGTTGAAGAGACTAGGTGTCTGCGACAAAGAGCAGACAGAGCACTGAGAAAGGGGCATGAGCACGTCCCGGCCAAGAGCTGAGCGGGCTCTGAGAGGGCCTGCGCTCCCACCCCCCTCACCCACAGCCAGCACTGTTGCCCACACTGTGCTGGGTGTACCTCGTAGGGAGGGCAGGAGGGCACCGAGAGCAGACAGAGCACTGAGAAAGGGGCATGAGCACGTCCCGGCCAAGAGCTGAGCGGGCTCTGAGAGGGCCTGCGCTCCCCCCCCCACTCACAGCCAGCGCTGGTGCCGACTCTGTACTGGGTGTACCTCGTAGGGAAGCCCTGAACTGCGTGGGGAAGGGGAAAGCACTTCGTGTGCTGCCAGCTAAAGGCGCGTATTTCATGTTTGCGTAGGTAGAGCGGCACAAGCAGGAGTGGCACTCACCCAAACAGCGCCCCATTTTCATACAACGAAAGGAAGAGGCCTTAGGGACCAGCGATCCCAAGGTCAGCCGTAAAGCCAACGTCCAGTGACAAACACTGCTCTGTCTTTAACAAAAGTTTTGTTAGACATTTTTGCTATAGGGTACGTGCGCTCGCCAGAGACACAGAGGAGAGAGTGAGAAACCTCCCCCCAGGGGACTGGCCACACCGCAGTCTCTTCTCCCCCAGTTTCCTCTTGAGATTTGAGCACGCTCATACAAGCGATGCATGATTTTCAAGGCGCCAGGTCTGGACTCGAGCCCCCGTCAGCCGTGTGAGAGTTCAGGACCTTAACTACTACACCACCTGCTGACCCCAAATATATTTTAACAAGTGTAGTTGCTTAAAACAAATTAATGGTCTCAATTTTATCAGCCAATGATTCTTCGGAGGTTTATATAGTGAAATTTGACTCTTTTAAGAAACTGCCTTTTTGGAAAACTGACTTAACCCCAAAATCAATCTTATTACGACAATATAAAGGTTAGAAGTAAATTAACCCCTATTTTTTGCAGTCGGTATGTAAATATTTTTAATCTTCTTAAAGCTAAGCGAATTCATATTCTGCCTTCCCAAAAGCACTGACAATTTACCACCCATTCAGATTCCCTGCTGTAGAATCGATCAACCTTCATTTTACTCGAGGCTGACGCAGAGTATTTGTGGCTTACAACTTCATTCCCACCGCGGTGAAGAGGGCCGCGATGAGGACTGCCATTTCCATCCACGTGACGTGACAGGTGTGGGATGCAGGTCTCCGTCGACGTGGACTGCCCTAACCTGAGGAGTCGGTCGGCATGTCACAAGGCTGTGCTGCAGCTACGGCCACCTCCAGGGCTTCGGCTGTCTTTACCCCGTGGACACCAGGATTTCGCTGAGTAGCCTGATGGCCTGGAACGGGCTTTTCGTTGGTGAATCTGGTGGGCTAGGGTTGCCAGACACTTCAGAGACATTCTTCATCAAAGCTTAGGCAGGAAATAGCCCAGGAGCCCGCTATGCTCCGGGTGAGGGTCCGGGGAGCCCCCTGTGCTCCAGTAAGGGCCCGGGGAGCCCTCCGTGCTCTGAGTGAGGGCCCGGGGAGCCCCCTGTGCTCCAGGTGAGGGCCCGGGGAGCCCGCCATGCTCCGGGTGAGGGCCTGGGGAGCCTGCCGAGCTCCAGGGATAACGCCTGAGACTTGATTCTCCAAGGGCCCGTGTCCAGTGCCCAGTCTGGAAGGGTTCTGGGTCCCCTAACTTGAAGCAGAGGGAGACCCAGACCCCACCCCTAGGACACGGCCGGTGGTCTGCCCGCCCTGCTCACACTCTGCACTATTACTGCCCTAGGAGGCAGGGAACTAAGGCTGTCTCACCTTGTAAACGGGCGGTCCGTAACTGCCCCTCACCTACCCTGTTCTGCTTGTCCTCGACTTCCTTTTCCATGTTCGGCCGGCTGAATTCCACCTGTAGCACCATAGTACAAACGAAACACGGAGCTCCTCCACCTTCTAACTACCAGACACTACAGATACTGACCAAAACTGAACTCAAAATAAAGAGCCGAGTACTCGGGAGCAACCACCTCAGCTTAGGCGAGGCTGTGAGCCACGGCCTCCGTCCTTATTTGATCCTCTCCCTGCTGACTCAGGAGGAATTTGGGCAGCTTATACGGAGACCGCAGATAATAAACCCAGAACGGACAGAGACCAAGTAAGAAGAAGAAGGAAGGGATGCGCCGAGCCGCGGGCTAGGGCAAGGAGCAGCTGAGTGTCGAGTGTCAGCTCTGTGTTTCTCATGCAACGGGTGTGGCCGGTCCCCAACGGGTCTGAAACTGCCACGGTCCACCCCAGTGGTCCGCATCCAGCGAGAATGAGGCCTGACCGCCTAGTCGAGGTCGGGGCCTTTACCCTCAGCTCCTCGGCGTTCTAAAGCACCAGCTCTCAGCCCGTTCCTAGCCGATTAAATTCTTACCCCCTTGACTGGCTCTCCCATTCACTGCCTCTGCTTCTTCTTCAACCCTAAAATCACTTGGTACGCTTTGTGAATAACGTTCAGGCTATTAACAATCCTAATTCTCACATGAATAGATCGTAAGTACCTGCCAAGGACTCGCTGAGAGACAACGCCCGTTTCCCCGAGGACATGAGAACCGGGTTTGCAGGACAGTGGGAACGGCATTGCTGAAACGGGAGGGCTGAGCTCATGCCACGCCGAGCAGTTCCCACGAGGCAGCCAGACCTCCATCTGCGGGGTTATCTTCTCTGCTGGACAAAAGAAAAGAAAAGAAAAATCTTTGCAGTTTAACACGGCTTTCCAGAGCTGTCAGACACACGGGCTCCGTGGACTGTGAGCAGTACGTGAAAGAAAACTCCATTCCCTCCACGCCGGGCACCCGCAGGCAGGCTTACTAGAAAGGGCTTAGACGCATTAAAATAGCAGGCAATCGCCTCTTTGCTTCATTCCCAAATTTTAGATAATTATCCTGAATAGTTTCATTTTTTTTTCCAACCTCACTTGCCAAGTGATGTGCTGTCCCTCTGATGGCACTGCCGTGGGTGAACCCCAGCCACACCCCACGCAGGGACCCCTCCCACTGGGCACATCCCTGAGGGCCACTCTGGCCTCCTGATGGCCCCCGTGCACTGCCTTTCTCTGATCCGCAGTGCTGAGGCAGCTCGTGGGTGCAGAGGACATGTTCAGACTGCAGACAGAGGGTCTCTAACGCCAGTATGCATAAATCCCTCCGGGGAATTCTGGTTCCTCCCTTGGAATGGGGTGGTGCCTGGAGCCTTGCCTTCCTGCCTCCCAGCTCCTGAGCTCTCCGTCTTGCTGCCCTCCAGTCCTGCCTCACTTGGCATGTCACCTCCTGGGACTCTCCAGCAGGGTACAGAGCATACACACACGTGCGGTCAGCACGTTCTTCACCCGCACCCTGGCTGGAGGGGCCCACGTGCGAGGCCTCTGCCCCTTCCTCCAGTCTACCCCGAAGCAGGTAAAGCCTCTTTGCTCGGCACAGCCCGGGGCACTCACAGAGTTAGCGGGAAGGGGTGGCAGAGGCCATTACTTGGGTTGATGGGGAAGACGGAACTGTCCGAAGACTATACCTTTGGATTGGGCTTGGGTCTCCAACGGGACTTAGCCCAAACCCTGCAGGCCCACGGAGCCCAGGACATGGAGCCTGAGGAGAGGGAGGGCGCCACACGGCACGGCCCCAAGGTCTGCTGCTCTGGTGTGCAGGGCGCCAGGCGGGAGAGCCAGCTCGGCCTGGCCACCGTCATGGAACTAGGGAGCCACAGCCCGGTGGGAGCACTGTGGACTCGAGATGCCCTCATTGCTCCACGCTAAGGATTCTTAACTGAACTTGGGACGACGCTGGAGAGAAACCAGCTAAGTGCAGGCTTGAATTTTCTATTAGCCAGGTAGATGGAATCTTGGAAAAAGTCAACACATTGAGAGGGAAAAGTTCAGAGAGGAAATTTAGGGTACTCATTGAGAATAAAGGGCTGGAGCCAGATGGCCTTGAACCCCTGGCCTGGACCAGACTGATGGCACAGCCGTGAAGCACAAACCCTGCCTCATTAGCTGCACGACCTTGGGCCAGTTAATTAATCTGTATTGATCTGTATCTCAGTTTTCTTATCTCTAACAGGGGATCGTAATACTGAGTCTTCGAGGGACCAGCGGTTGGTGTAATGGCTATGTCACTGGACTCCCATGTAGTCGACCACGGTTTGAATCCCGGACCTGGTGGCTTAAACTCACACCGGGCACATGTGTGTGCATGCTCAAGATCCCGAGAGGAATGGAGGAGAAGGAGAAGGGACTGTGGCGCCCTAGGGTGGGGGTGGGGGTGATTCCTCACTTTCTGTCTCTCTGTCTCTCTCTGTCTGTCTGGCGAGCACACACTCCCTATAGCAAAAACCTCTCCAAAAAATAAAAAGTGAGTCTTCGAAGGTGGGGGTGAAGGTGGGATGAGTTAACATGACAAAGCACTGAGCCCCGGCCTGCCCGGCCTGCCCGTATTAACTGCTGTGCGGCGCCCCGCCTGTCGTACTCCAGAACTCGGTGCTGAGTCGGCGCTGCGTCACCAGGCCGCTCACAGGCTGCACAGGTGAACAATTCCGCTGTCGTACCTGTGTTCTTTGTCAAGAGGTGAGTTCCTGAGAGCAAAGTGTATCCTATAAAGCTGCTCTGAGCTCACTGTGGGGGTGGAGCTGGAGGAGAGATTTAGATCAAATTCGCAGGGTTCTAGAATTTGACTAAGAACTGAGAAAGACAATGAGACTGATCACATATGACCACACGCATGATATAAAGATACACGGGGGGGCCTCGAACAGGTCATGGAACAAGGAACTGAGGTACCAGTTTATTTTAGTGCAAAATGACTTCGAATCCACGTGCAGGTTTTTCCTAACGGGCATTTTCCATGAACTCTCTGCAGACCCTGACTTTTTTCCAGTTGTCTCTATTTCGATGACTCACTTATTTTATAAATTACCTACGCGAGTGAACTTATTTTTTAACCTTTTATGTTGTACACACACAGAAATCATACTCTAGGATAGGAACAGAAATGCTGTAAGCGTAAAGGAGAAAGAACGTTCCTCACAACCTCACCGCCCAGAAATGACCTCGGGGCTCCTAAGAGGGGCACGCCGCCCTTTGCTCTTTGAAGCCTGTCCTTCTTGCTGTGCTGGGGTGGAGCGAGGAGCCAGGAGCTGCCAGAGGAAGCGCTGCCTGGCGGCCGAGGAGCACACCAAGGACCACGCCGCCTGTCGCCTGTCTCTGATCAGCGGGGCGCAGGCCACACGCGGGGTTGTCTGGCAGGTCTTTTCTGCATCTAAAGGATGAAGGCTGACTCACCGAATTGTACATCTCACTGTGCGTTAAACAACCTCAATACAGATGAAGAAACGGAAGCTCAGCGAGACCGAGGTCAGCGGGACTCCACAGGACCAAGTCCTTGCCCTGCTAACGGGCAACAGCCAAAGTACTGCCATGGGCTAATAATCAACTTCTAAAATAGAAATTGGAGCTGATTTAGGGCATCCCTACAGTCGTGTCATTCTTACTCACTTTCTCCTATGTTGGGCTGACGCGCTCCCTGGTGAGCCGTCAGCTGGAAACTGCATTGGCACCCGGAGAACCTCTGGAACCCCATGAAAGCCCGTCGGGGGAGGCCTACAACACGGGTTAGAGCCCCCCAGAGAGGGCTCAGGTAAAACGGCTGCACAGCAAACCCTACAAAGCCGAGGCTAACCCACCATCTATGCTCACAGCTCTGGAGTCAGAAATGTGGGAAGGAGCCCAGCCACTCTGCTAACCCAAGTGTCCTTCAGGACCTGTAGGAGCCACAGGTCTGGACCCCCAAGTCGGCCTGAAAATGCACCAGAACTCCAAGGAGCAGGAGGCTGGGGAAAGGGGACTGACTGTGGTGAGATGAGACCTCTCGAAGGTGTCTCTCCCTCTCTTGTGCACACACGACCTCTGTCATTTAAAAAGGAAGTTCAGGAAGGTCGTGCTGGCGACTTTCTCTCTTGGGGCCCGAGGCAGCTGCGGGCAAGCGCTGGCTGAGGCTGTGCTGCCATCTGGATGTCCCCCAGACGCACGAGTCGGAAGCGTGACCCCAGGGCAGCAGTGCTGGGGGATGGGCCTGATGGGCCACACGAGGCCGTGCGGGCCCTGCCACCGTGAATGCGTGCACGTCTCTGCGAAAGGGCTCTCAGGGTGGGTTGGCCCCCCTTTTGCTCGAGAGACATTAGTAGGAAGGCCAACAAGAGACCCTGGTGCCTGGGACCTGGACTTCCCAGCGTCCAGAGCCGTGAAGGAGTAAAGTCTGGTTTTTCTCCATGTCCAGTCTCAGGTTAGGGCAGCACAAAGTAAACTCGCAAGTCCGTGATCAAAGCGCCCCGGCCTGGACACCGAGCGGGCGTCTTCACTTGCACGGCTGGGAGAGCAGCGTGGTGGCCGATGGTGCCCACCGGGCCCCGATGTGGGGGGCTCGGGGTGCTGAACCTCTTCCCATAGCGTGTGCATCCCGAGAGAGCCAGGCAGAATCTAATGCTCTTCTGCGGCGCGAGCTCAGACAGCATGCGCATCACTGTCAGAGCCGCCCCGAGCCCACGCCCTCAGATTCAGCCGCCTCTCACTGGAGCGTTTGTCAGAAATCTGCAGATGTGTTCTAAACTGCCACGAGGTTTACAGACCACGTCATCTGGTCTATGTTCATAAAACATCTGCCTCACTCACATTCTTTGCTGGTGGGAGGACAGATTGGTATAATCCCCACAGGGGCAGATTGGAATGCTTATCAAAGTTACGAATGCATGTGATTCTTTTTGGAGCGGGAGAGAGAGAAAGAGGCACTTCTGAGGGGTTTCACCATTGCTACCCTCCGCTCCAGCCTCCCAGTGAGCTGGGTTACGCGCACACTGCCATGCCCGGCCTGTTCAAGTCAGTCCAGGACCCAGACCTGGGCGCCGTGGCCCAGCCTCAGGTCGAGGCACCCTGCATTCGCACCGCTGTGGCTCAGCCGGTGCATTTCTGCAAATCCATCCCACGGGCAGGTCAGCTGGGATCACTACAAGCCACCTTCAGAACAAGGGGCTAAAGACGCAGCGCCAGCCCCGCAGTCCTACGGGAAAGACAGGCTGTGCCCTCATCGTACGGTGCTGGTGATCCTAGCTGTCATTGCTTGCCCTAGTGCTGTCTGCTTACAGGAGAAAGGGTCTACTTCTAATCCTCCCTACGCTCCTCAAAGGACTGCTACTGCTATTTCTCCGGAGGTTTAGAGAAACGGGACCTGCCCAAGGCCTCAGGGCTGGAAGCTGGGCCCCGCGGTTCAGGTCCGGCTCTGCCTGACTGCATCCTGACCCGGAGCTCAGTCAAGAGCACGCTCTCTCTGCATTGTCGAACTCTCACAGCACGAGAGGATATTGTGTTACGAGCTGTTTCCTGTCAGAAGTAACAGGTGAAGACGATTCCACGCAGGTCTTCGGAGGAGAAAGATGCGGAGATGAACGTCTGAACTGAACACTTCCTTAGGAGTGGAAATCACTCCCGCGCTGCGTGAGCAGCACAGCGCCAGTTTGCATATCTCATTAAGAAATTCCCAGAAACTGAATCAGCACAGTTCTCATCTCCTGTCAACGCTGTTCAAGGACAGTCGGTGATTTGGCAAGAACAGAGACTCATACTGATCCCGAATGGCCCTTCCCTGCTCCTAAACAGGGGTGGGACACAGACGAGAAGCGGAAATGCTCTGTCTCAGGCCAGCAGGTGGCACGGAGGGTAAGGTGGTGGACCCCACATGGCCAACTCCACAGCTCGCCCCGGCAGCTTG